ATATTTTTGTTATTTTTTGTAGACTTTATGCCAAAAAATTGTTGATGTTTTAAATTTTGATGCTTTATTATAAACACTCAATAAATATTAAAAATTCAATACTTTATATTTTTTTGTTTTTTTTCCTGGTAAGCCAATGTGTAATATAACAACACTTATAAAAGTAAAGTTAATAACTCATCAATAGAAATATTCTAAAGAATGAGTGTGTGTCTGGTAAACCTATGTTTCTGCACCTTTATGACAAAGTTAGTGTTATGCTCCTGAAATAGTCAAGACCAGGAAAGTTTGCAGGGATGCTGTTCACAGTGTCATCATCTAACCTTGAAGACTCCTCTGGAGGTTTCACCTACATCCTGCCATGCAGACAAGCTCTCTATCTACAGTTGCCAAATCCTGGGAGGCAACACACCTCCTGCAACTGGAGTTCAGTATTCTGTCTCTGAGGTGAACATCAGGACGGTCATACATGTGCCAGGCCCTGGGAGAACTCCTGCTCGTCCTCTGAGAGTTCAGGGAAATCCCTGGGCACTGAGATCACTGCCCCTCTAAGCCAGGGGCTCCCAGTCACTTCTCCTGTTTCTACACTAACAGTGTCAAACAATCTGACAGTTTCAAGGCCAGGGAAGCTAGAGAGGCCTTGCAGCCAGGCCATCCACAGTGTGTTTCAGACAGGACTGGCTGGGCTCCAGCGAGGGAAGTGGTCGCCCTGAAGTCCTGCAGAGCGGTTTTGAAAGAGAGTTCTGTAGGATATATCACCTGGGTTGGAAGTTGCTTTCTTTTATGTGTTGAAATACCTCACTCCAAGCTCTCCTGGTCTTAACAGTTTGTGTTGAAAAGTGTGCTGTATTTCTAATGGTTTTACATTTATAAGTGATTCCTTGCTTTTCTTTATGAGGTTATAAGATTCTGTTCTCACCTTGGACTTCCCAGGTATTGACTGTCATATGTCATGGGGAGATCCTTTTCTGATTGTGGCTACTTGGGGTTTCATCTGTCTTTCTTATCTGTATGTCAAGTTACTTCCCCATATTCAGAAAGTTTTCTGCTATTGTTTCTGTCACAGATTTTTATGCCATGTGTGCTGTCTTGTGGTTTTTCACTTATTCTAGTTAGTTGTCTGTGCACCATCTAATAGCTGTTGGATCTACTGTCCATGTTCCAATTTTGTAAGGTGTCCCTGAGTATTTGGGCACTGACACCAGCCCTGTCTTCTAACTCCAGGGCTCTGTCCTTGTGGTCATTTCTGTTGCCCCCACTTTGGATACAAATTTAATTCTCTTGGATTTCTGTTTGGTACCATTTGTGGACTCAAATTCCTTGCTAAGTCACTCATCTACATTGTGTATCATGTCTTTTTTTTTTTAGCTCAGGTAATTTTGTAGTAGTGTATTTTGTAAATGTACTGATCATTCTGTTGAATTTAAGCTTTTATCACCTTGAATAATTCAGATGATAATTCACTGTCACTACTGTGGAAATCTCTTTAGTTAGTGTTTTTCAGTGATGCTCTAAGAGGTGTGGTGAACCACAAGCCTTTCTTTCCATTGTTTAAGTTTTAAGAACATTGTTGTCTGTTCTTTTCAAGGGTATTGATGTATAGATTATCTCTGTGATACTTGTGTCCATTCTGAATAATCACAACAGTGACCTCATAAGTTGAGAAATCTTTCTATTCAAATTCTTATGACAATGTGTAAAACTGATAGTACTTCTACCTTCAGTGCTGGTTAAAATTCAGCAGTGAAGCTATTCAAGCCTGCAGTTACTGGGAAGGTTCTAACCAATTCAGTGTCTTCCATGCAAATGAGGCTCAGGTCCAGAGACTTGGATCCTTCTTGTCTTTCAAAAAGTTTGTTCCCTGCATCAGAGCTTTCAAATATATCTGCTAATATTCTCCCCTGAACCGTTTTTGTTTTAGGTTGTATTTTTGGCCCTGGGAATTGAACTCAGGGCCTTGTGCTTGTCAGGCAGGCACTTTGTCCCTGAGCTCCATCTCCATGCTTCCTCTTAACTGTTTACTCTTTCAGGTTCTAGGTAAATAGTGCTGTCCCTAGTGTTAATTTCTAAACGTATTTCATCATAGTGAGACAAAATTCTCTGCATAATTGAAATTCTTTTAAATTGATTGGGGTTTATTTTGTGACTGTGCTGGAAACATTTCCTCCATGTACAGCAGTGAATCCTGCACTGTTGTTTGGATGGGATGCTTCTGTCAGTGGCAGTTGGTATAAGTTTGTCCATAATATACAACCTTTTTTACCAGAAGAACATGGCGGATAGATAGCAGCAGCCTCTGAGGCTCTCGGAGAAACTGCACTTGAAATCTAGGAATGGTGCAGGACGGGAAGATCCAGGCAAGGGGGGATATTCTTTGCTGACCCAGGAATGAACTAAATTAAGAGAAACCATCTGGAAATGCAATCCTGGCAAGACAGCAGGCACAGATAAGGTCTCAGCGCGGAAGCTGGACCCGCGCCACTGGAAACTGCAATTTGAATTACCTGCAGCTGCTGTTGCATCCCGGTCGGCACAGCAGGGAGAGAGGTGCAAAACCTCGGAGAGTGAGAAGCGTTGAAAGGAGATGGGAGCAGGACTGGCCGGTGCCCTGCATCGACCTGCGGTGAGTGAGCCAGTGAATTGGACCCTTACATAGAGAAGCAGGCTTCAGCGGAGGACATACTCGGACCAGGCAGACTTCCCGGAACAAGAAGCTGCAGTGACTTCAGTCACATATCCCCCTCTCAAGCGGGATTGGTGGGGAGTGCCTGGCCTGTGAGAAGCCGCTGGCTGAGACCCAATAGGCTAGTCCAACTCAGGTCCCAGCACCTGAAGGCGCACCCTAGCAGTGAAGCCTTGGGGGTAGGTTGACCTGGAGGGGCGGGCCCAGAAGAGGCTGCCCAGGTCTGTGTCTCCCTAGTACACTGCAGTGGGCAGGAACACCTAGCCGGCAATTCAAACAGACTGGCCGACAGGGAAGGAAGCTGGGCCTCCTATACACGCTTAATATAAGGAACAAAGAATATGGGAAGAGGGAGCAACAAGAAAGGGTCCTCAGTCCCCAATCCCGAGAAACACGCAATAGTAGACATGGGACCAATAGATATAAAGTGCTATCTCCAGAGCCTCATAGAGGAGTTCAGGAATGAAGTTATGAATGACCCGAAGCTAGACATAAGCAGAATAGTTAGAGAAATGCTAAGTACCGCCCAAGAAAAAACAGATGGTGAAATGGAAGAACAGAAAAAAAGGGGAGAATTGTTTGATGGAGAAAATAGAGAAAACATAGAATACATGAAGGAGGTTCAAAGAGATTACAAGGAAACTAAAAACTATTGAAAACTGGCATAACAGCTTGAAAGAAACTAAGGACAGATTATCTGAACTGGAGGGCAGATTTGTAATATGGGAGCATGTAATGAAAAACTTCTTAAAAATAACAAACAAACAAACAGCAACAATACAAAAACTAGAAGATGATAAGAGGATCTATAACTTAAGAATTAAGAACGTAAGAGAAGAAGTGGGGACACAAACAAATAGACTACAAAAGCTATTCACAGAAATAATCCAAGAGAATTTCCCTAATTTGGCAAATGGTAAAGATACTCAGATATATGAGGCATACAGGACCCCAGCAATCTACAACCCAAACAGAGCTACAACCAGGCACATAATAATCAAAATTTCAGAAATCCAATATAAGAACAGAATATTAAAAGCCGTCAGAGACAAGAAACAGATCACTTACAAAGGAACACCCATCAAAATTACAGCAGACTTCTCGGCACAAACCATCAAATCACGAAGAGCGTGGGGGGAAATAATTCAAGCTTTGAAAGATAATAACCTCCAGGCAAGATTGATGTATCCTGCACAACTGTCCCTAGAAATTGATGGAAAAACAAGGTGCTTCCAGGATAAAGAGGAACTAGGGGAATTTGCAACCACTAATTCAACTCTACAGAGAATACTGCAGGATAGTCTAAAAAAAGAAAATACCAAGATTCCAGAAATAGTGGCTGAGAGGCCACAATGAATGGAGCAGAAAACAAAATGAAGAAGACAAACTGACAACAAAGGACAGAAAAAGAGCTCAACAGAAATGAGGCAGAGAAGATTGGAAGGTAGGAACAGCAATTTTGGAGAAAACAAGACATCATAATAGCTAGTGCTGATTTAGTATCATCTTGTTTTGAAGTCCCATCAAATGTGTATTCTTCAGTCTCCATTGGTGTTAAAAGGTTGTATCTTATTGGATTTTATTATATATGATAGTATAAGCAAAAACTTTTATAGACAAGGAGTTTATATAGAAACCATTGTTCATTTTCTGTCAATTGGTTCTAAATACCCTGCAATAATGTCATTCTCTTGAATGGATTTATAGTGTCGTGATATCTTTGGTGCTACAGTATAAGAAGTTATACTCAAAGATTTCAAGGAAAGAGACACTATGGTAACTATTTTTATGTCAGGATATCTTGTGGTGAAACACTGGTTTGCTTAAATGGTTATGATTTGACCTGCGCTGTTCTGTTGTTATGCCCTCTTTTATCTCAGTCCCCCCCCTTTTTTTTAATTATTTACTTTTTTAATTTTATTTTTTAATTAAGGGAAAATAAATAAAAAATAGCAGGATACATTATAGTAACCTACTTTGATTTCCTATTAACTTGATTTGAAATCCTGTATTGCCCTCACCATCTTGTTTTGACTGATTTTCCCCTATTCTGCTTTGCTTGATAGTACCAATATCGAAAGTACAGGCATAACTGTGAACACAATAAGAATCATTATGACACCCATTCTGATTGACTATTATTTTCTTTTAAAGTCCTGTAATGTCTCCAGTGCTTTGGTTTTATTCTTTACTGTTTAGTTCAATTTTATTATAACCGCCAATTCTTAAAATAGCAAGAGGCAGTATGGTAACTGATAGAACTGTGGAGTGGAAGGAAAAGGAGGAGGACTGGCGGCGGCTGAAAAGATAAGAAGTATAAAATGTAAGTAACCTTTATTTTGGGAATGCGGGGAGAGACACCCCTGACCCCCTGCGGCATGGCATCTCCACCCCGGGGCCAGCGATCTCTCCGTGGAACACGTGGAGTGAGGCATATAAGTAGCCTCAGCCTGGGGTGGAACCTAAGGGGCATTAGGGATGTACAGGTAGCCCACTGGTCTTAGTTTGGCGCCAGAAGTAATTTCTAAAGGTGGGGGGAGATAAGAGCTCCCTGGCTTTACTGGCTACAGTATCCGGCCTGGGCCAGCAACCCTTTCATATCCCATCTTATGATTATTAGGAAAAGGGGCGAAGATTTCTCTCTTTAACTACTTCCTGCTGGCCGAGGGCACTGTACTGGAGTCTAGGGGGGTCGACGGGATGACAGTTGATGTCTAGGTAGAAGCTGGTGCCAGGAGTTTTAGCCATGACAACTTCACTGGTGAATGCACGTATGTTAGACTGAAAAAAACAAAGAGACAAGATGTTATGAGGAGACATGGCACTGTCATATTTATGGACCCAAGAGAGGTAGAGGGAAAGGTATCTTTGATTTAGACATGTTATTCTATCAGGATGACGTTGAGGTGGGAACATTTTTATGGCAAGGCAGAATTCTGAAAAATTAAATGTGGGATTAGGAGGAGTGAAGTTATGAGAGGTGCTTACTCCCCCATATGAAAGCATAAAAGGTAAAAGGTAGGTAGGTAAGGCTTGTCTCTGGTATATATTATGTTGGAGTCTGTAGGCAATCCTGTTAGAGAGTCCTGGTATAGAAATGATCATTAATAGAATGTAAGAAATTAAGAACCAAAGTGGATGACAAAACATGAAAACCTGTGAGTCGTAAGGCAGAGATGAGTATCAAAAGTATGGTTAGATCTAGGGCCTGAGTGATGTGAAACCAGGATGGCAGTTTAAAAGGGAATAAAAGCATTTTAAGATTTAGGACTGGGGCCTATATAAAATAGGCCCTGTTTGTAACTGGCATAGGTTGACCTTTAATACTCCGTGAGACACTGAGGATTTATTAGCCTGAAAACTCAGTAAGAACTCTGTATATGTGGCCTCTTATGTCCACGAATATAGAGATCACCTAGTATTTTGTTTTTACATTATTATGTCCATCCTTTTGATTTGACTGACTGTTCTGATATGTCGCATTTGGTTTTACTCTCTTCAAAAAAAAAAAAAAAAAATAAGAACTGTGGGAGTCATAAAACCCAAAATGTGTAACTGCCATTCTACAAAAAAAAAAAAAAAAAAAAAGTGCTCTAAAGGTTATAACTGCATATATGTTTAAGTGTATAAGATAACTATATTACTGAGTGGGTTTTTTTTTTTTGGATCATTGAACAAAACTGTTTGCACTCTCACTGTTTGAAAGTCCACTTTATGTGCTTGAATTTTGTAATTTGAACAACTATTTCTAAGATGAGAATATGTAATCTATTCACTAGTGATTTCTTACTGTTTATTTTTTCAAATTTTATATTACTTGTACCCTTTTTCTGTTTTTTTTTCTTTTTTCTCCTTAAATAAAAAAATTATCTTCTGAAAAAAAATACAATCTTTTGATCCCTAAAAATTGTGTTTAATTTTTCTATTAAATTGTGAGGACGTTGAAATGTCTGACTATAATTCTGTATTCAGTTGTCCTTCTATCAGTTTTTTGCACATTTCGAAGCTCTGTGCACATGTGTTCTGAATTCTTACACACTTGTGGTCAATTGGTGTCTTTCTCCTGAAACAATCTGTTTTATCCTTGGGAATGCAGTCTTCACTCAGAAATTGACTTTCCCTGACGCTCCTGTTGTCACTGCAACTGCCTTGGGCATTGAACTGGCCAGAGCTTTGTGTATCCTCTTTTGACCAAATTGTACTCTTATATTCAGAGGGGATTTCTGGTCCACTGAGGTAGAGATAGCAACACGGAAGGAGAAAATTCCCCTTAGGCACACAGTAGACAGGCACATTCCAGTAGAGCACAGGGCCCTGACTGAGCAGAAGTTGGAAGTGGGGTAGTCTACGTAGGTAGTTTCCAAGTAGCAGCCCATGGTATCCATAGCAGAGCTGGGAAATAATAATTTCCTGTGCAAATCCTGGCAAACACTACCATCAAGAAGATGCAGCATCACATCAGTTGTTGGGTTTAGGGACATCATGACCCTCCTAGTGTGACACCTGGGGTGGGACCGTCAACTCTGCAGTGCTCTTGATAGAAACACATCACCATAGTCTCAGCATGGGGGAATGTCGGGCAGCCAGCCAAGGGACCTGTGCAGAGGAACAAGGACAGCGTTCCTGGTAGACAGCGGACCGCCACAGATGGGAGGAGACAGCAGTGTCCCCGTCACTGCACACAATGTGGAGTCCTAGATAGGTCCTGTAAAAGACAGATGGGAGAAGCCCAGGTGAATTGTCCACTGTACTTAGCAGTACTGCAGGAACGTCCACTTCCTAATGTCACTCATCGTCCTTCGGATCTCTTACGTTCCTCCTGTCTGAAGAAGCCAGGTGATCAGTGTATAGGAACTCAATGACCTTCTTAAAATCTGAAACTATTTCTACATAAAAGGAAAATAAAGCTAATAAGCAGCTTCTTTGTAGGTGCAATGGTTAATCTCACCTGACAGTCTGTGCTTTGTAATTGGTGATGAATGCAAATCACTGCCCTGTGTTCACTCAGCTGGGTTCCAGCCTGTCTTCCAGCTCTGTTTTACCCACCCTTTGTTTGCTCTTCCCTGATTTTCCTCCTCCCTTTGGATTAGTATTCACATCTCTCACCCTGCTGAGCCTCAATCCTGTTGCATGTATGTTGCTGCCTTCCAGCGTGTGCCATTGGTCAGCCAGGCCTCCCTTCAGCAGCGACCCACCAGGCCACGTGTGTGCAGGGAAACAGTGCGACATTTCTGCCTTCCCAGGCTGTGTGCTGCTGTTTCCTACATTTTATTTCTGTGCTCACCGTGGACCTCACTGTACCTGGCCATTATTCTTCTTTCCATTGGGACAGAAGGTGCCTAACATGAACTCACCCTCATTGCCCTCAAGTGCACAGCCCCTGGCATTGGGCACCTCAGGGTGCTGGGTGACCATCTCTGCCTGCACCTCCACAGGGCCTGTGTCACAGGGCTGCTATCCTCTATGAAATGTTGGTTTGACTTCATGAGGTCTGATTTTTTAAAATTCTTTATATGTTCTAGACATATAAAGAATTTTTTAAATACTTTATATGTTGTAGAAGTCCTTTGCGAGACAGTTTACTAAGATTTTTTCAAAATTCTACGTTTCCTTTTACTCTGTTGGAGATTTATTTTGACATGCAAACACTTTTAATAAGACGTAATTCCAGTTATTGATTCTGGGAAGTGTTTCCCATGTGGTTTGATTTTTGTTCATGAATTCTCTTGCCTGTCCCTGTGTCTTCAAAATTTCCAACTACTTTGTCATCCAGCATGTTTAGTGTTTCTGTTTTAATATTTAGATCTTTGATCCATTTTGACTTTAGTTTTATGCATGGTGCTAGGCATGGGTATAGTTTTAGTTTGTGGCATATGGAGAGCCAGTTTTTCTAGCACCACTTATTAAAGACATTATCTTTCTTCTGGTGAATGTGTTTGGCCCCTTTGTCAAAGATAAGGTGGCTGAGTTTTGTGTAGTTGTAGTTCTATCTTACAATCTATTTCATTGATCTTCAGGATGGAATACTCTGTGCTCGTCCACTAAGTGCATTTGTTCACAGATGTGATTCGGTTCTGTTATTTCTTTGTTGATTTTCTGTCTAGTTGATCTGTCTCTTATTGTCAGGGGGTGTTAAGGTCTCCCATTATAATTGTGTTATTGCTTATTTGATTTTTCATTTCTGTTAATATTTGTTTATATAGCTGGTGCTCCCGAATTTGTTGCATAGATGTTTAAGATTGTTATCTCTTCCACTTGAAGTTTTCTCCTAACTAGTACGTAGTGATTTTCTTTTTCTTTTGATCATTCTTGATTTGAAGTTCACATTGTCTGCAAACAGAGTAGTTACCCTTGCTTTTTTTTGGTGGGTAGTTCCCGTTGCATGAAGTATTGTTTTCCATCCTTTGACTTACAGTCTATGAGTTTCCGTTTGGATTAGATGTACATGATATGATTGGATGTTGTTTCTTGATCCATTCCACCAGTCTATTTCTTTGAATTGGTGACTTGAGTCCATTTGCATTAATGGTTATAACTGATATATATATGTATATATATATATATATATATATATATATATATATATATATATATAGGTTTATTTTTGTTGTGTTATCTTTCTGCTGTTGATTCTTTACTTTTACCCTCTATTTGTTTGCCAGGCTTAGTGCTTTTTTTCTTGTTGGCATTCTTGAAGTTATATATTTTATGTCTATCTAGAATATCTTTCAATATTCTTTGCAGAGTTGGTTTGGTGGTTATGAAGTTCTTCAGCTGTTCTTTGTCATGGAAATATCTTATTTTTCCATCAGTTTTGAAGGACAGTTTTTCAGGGTACATCAATCTGGGTTAGAAGTCAGTTTTTTTTAGGATCTGAAATACCTCATTCTGTGTTCTTCTTTACTTCATTGTTTGTGTTTAGAAGTCTGCTGGGCTTTTGCTGGGCTTTCCTTTATAGGTGATTTGTCTCTTCTCTGTAACAGTTTTTTTTTCCCCCATGAATCATCAGCAACACTTTATTTTTTTTTAATTAAAAAAACCAGAAAAAGTAGATAATACATAATTTTTAAAAAATAAACAGAAATCACTAGTTGACAATTACATATTGTCTTGGAAATAGTTGTTCAAGTTACAAAGTAAAGCATACAAAGTGGGCATTCATACAGTGAGACTGCAAACAGTTCTGTTCAGCTATCCAACAAAAACTTAGTAATATGGTTATCAATCCTATACACTTAAACATACATGCAGTTATATCCTTGGAACACTTTCTTTTCCTCTCTGTTTTATAAACACAAGTACACATTTTGGGTTTTATTACTCCTACATTTCTTATTACTTTTTATACTAGAGATAAAATGTGATATTTATAAATATGATCCTTATTTATTTCACTAATAAGGATAGCCTCAAGTTGTCTCCATTTGCCTATGAAGGCCTCAAGATCATCCTTTTTATAGCTGAGTAATATTCCATTGCATAAAAATACCACATCTTTTTCATCCACTCGGTGGTTGATGGGCATCTTGGTTGTTTCCAAGATTTGGCTATTACAAATTGTGCTGCTATGAATATGGGTGCACATATATCACTGTGATATGACCTTTTCAGTTTTTCTGGGAAAATACCCAAGAGGGAAATAGCTTGATTGAATGGAACTTCCAATCCTAGTCTTCTGAGAATTCTCCATACTGATTTCCATAGTGGCTGCACCAGTCTAGTCTCCTACCAATAGTGGAGCAGTGTTCCTTTTTCCCTCACAGCCTTGCCAACATTTGTTATCAGTTGATTTCTTGATGGCAGCTATTCTTTCCGGAGTGATATGAAATGTAAATGTTGTTTTAATTTGCATTTCTCAAATGACCAGTGATGGTGAACATTTCTTCATGTATTTATTTGCTATTTGTATGTCTTCACCTGAGAAATGTGTGTTCATCTCAAATGCCCATTTTTAGAGAGGATCTTTGAATTTGGGGGGCTTGATGTTTTTCAGTTCTTTATACGTTCTGGATATAAGTCCTTTGAGGGGTTGTTGGCTAAAATTCTTTCCCATTCTGTAGGTTTTTCTTTTTACTCTGTTGGTGATTTCTTTGAAGTGTTTCCTGTGCAGTTTGCGTGTTGTTCATGAATTCTCCCTATATCTCCAAGACTTCTACCTACCTTGTCTTCCAGTAGATTTAGTGTTTCTATTTTAACATTTAGGTCTTTGATCCGTTTAGACTTTAGTTTTGTGCATGGTGATAGGCATGGATCTAGTTTAAGTCTTGGGCATGTAGACAGCCAGTTTTTCCAACGCCATTTATTAAAGAGGCTATCCTTCTTCTAATGAACATGTTTAGCCCCTTTGTCAAATAGCAGGTGGCCGAGTGTCTTTGAGGTTGTGCTCAAATCTTTTAATCTGTTCCATTGATCCTCAGGTCTATTTCTTTGCCAGTACCATGCTGATTTTATCATTGTGGCTTTGTAGTATAGTTTCAAGTCAGAAATTGAGATGCCTCCTGCCTTGCCTTTGTTGTCCAGAATTGCCTTTGTAATTCTGGGTTTCTTCTGTTTCCAAATGAATTTTAGACGTGTTTTCTCTTGGTATTTTGATTGGAATTGCGTTAAATCTGTGTAAGAGTTTTGGGAGTATGGCCATTTTCACAGTGTTGATTCTTCTAGCCAAGAGCAAGGAATATCATTCCATTTTCTAATGTCCTCTTCAATCTCCTTTTTTAGTGTAGTATAATTTTCAGCATATAGGTCTTTTACATTCTTAGTTAGGTTGATTCCTAAGTATTTCATTTTTTTAGATGTTTTGTGAAGGATGATATTTCCATATTTGGGCTTTTTGTGTACAGGAATGCTGTTGATTTTTGAGCATTGACTTTGTATCCAGGTACACTGCTGATTTGTTTATTAGTCTTTTAATGGAATTTTTGGGGTCTTCTATATAGAGTATCATGTCATCTGCAAATAGTGATAATTTAGCTTCTTCCTTTCCTATCTTTATTCTATTTATTTCTCTCTTTCTAGTCTGATTGCTCTGGCTAGTGTTTCCAGAACTATATTGAATAGGAGTGGTGATTATAGACATCCATGTCTTATTCCTGATTTTAGTGTGAAGCTTTCAGTTTTTGTCAATTTGGTATAATGTTGGCTGTTGGTTTGTCATACATGGCCTTTTTAAGGTTTGGTAGGCACCATGTATTCTGGGTTTCTGAAGGGTTTTTATTATGAACATGTATTGGACTTTATTGGGAGATTTTTCTGCATCTATTGAGATGACCATGTGGTTTTTGTTTTTGGCTCTATTGATGTGTATTACATTTATTTATTTGCGTATGTTAAACCATCCCTGCATTCCTGAGATGAATCCCACTTGGTCGTGTTGTATAATCTTGATGACTTGCTGCATTCTCTTTGCCAGTATTTTATTGAGAATCTTTGCATTAGTGTTCATTAGTGAGATTGGCTTATAGCTCTCCTTTTTGGTTGGGTCTTTCTCTGGTTTTGGTATGAGAGTAATACTGGCCTCCAAGAATGATTTAGGGAGGATTGCTTCCTTTTCCATTTTATTGAAGAGTTTAAGGAGTATTGGCATCAAATCGTCTCTAAATTTCTTGCAGAATTCAGCTGTGAACCCATCAGGACCTCACTCCAAGCTCGTCTTAACCTGAACATTTGTGCTGAAAAGTCTGCCGTATTTCTAATAGGCTTTCTTTAACAGCTTTTTAGTGTCCTTTTTCTATGCTATATGTCTGAGATATATGTCTGGGTGTAGATTTATGTTGATTGTGACTGTTTGGCATTCTGTATGCCTCACTTATTTCTATATCACATTTTTTTCCCTATTTGTGAGAAATTTTCTGCTATTCTGTGAATAGTTTAGTTACGTCATTTGCATTGAATCCTGCATCTTCACTGATGCCTATTAGGCTTATATTGTTTCCCTTGGCATCATCTTGAAGCTGCTGGATTGTCATTTCATGCTGCTTTGTTTTTTTAAGTTCTACCTTTTTATGATCTCTATCTGTGATCCTGTCTTCCAGGTTTGAAATTCTATCCTCAGCTTCATTTAAATGGTTTTGCCAGCTTTCAATAGTTTTTGTTTCTTGGCTATCTCTTTGAATTTGTTTCATGGATTCTGCTTGTTTTCTGTATTGTTCATTCAAAGTTTCAATCAATTTCCCAAGCTCCTATATTTTTTTTTTGTCTATTTCTTGTCTAGCTATGTTGAGCAATTTATTTACTAAGGTTACTTCTGTCTTTACATAAGACATTATTTCTAATTTGGTTTCCTCTGTAGTCTCATAGATTTGTTTCTTTGCTTCATTTGCTGTCTTTTCAGAGGTTCCTGGTGTATGACTTTTTATAGTCCTCTATTTCAGTGTTGCCTGGACTTGCTCCTGATGGACTAGATGTTTGAGATTACACTTTGCCTTTTCGTTTTGTTATTTTTACCTTTTGGATAAATATTTGGTCTTTCAGTCCGAACAGTTTCAACTGTCTATAGTATGAGTTTTTGGGTCCTACTGTGCGGGTGTCGTTTGTCCAGTTGTTGGATAAGACAATGTAGAGGAGAGCCAGTCACCTGAATTCCTCCTACAGGGCCTGTTGGGTGAGTCCTATATTCTTTCTGGGCTAACTAGCCTAGTAGTATTGATGTAGTTCAACTCTTGGTTCCTGCTGTTGCTATGTCTTCAGGTTGTTGCAGGTCAGCAGCTCTCCCTGCCTATAGTATTTGTGTCAGCTGAGGCCCTACTGTGTCACTGGAGGTCTCATAAGCTCTTTTAATTTTCTGCAAGTTGGCGGAGGCCTTATTGGCTCACTCCTCAATCTGTTTGATGTTATCTGTATGGAGGAGGGGATTCCCACTCTCTTGCCAGGTTTGTCAAGGTCTTATAGTTGGAGGGAGTTTCACTTCTACTCTTATTTACCCTCTGCAGATCTCTATTTTAGGAGCATACTCACCACACTGACTGGAGCCTGCTGAGGTCTTCTGTTTGGGTAAGGGGTTCCTGAGTCTCCCATCCATCCAGCACTGTACTTCCTTGTAGTCCAAGGTTCTGGGAGAAGGGGTTGGATCCAAAGATCCTCTGCAGTACTAGGTCCAGGAGGTGGGTGGTTTCCCTAAGGGATGGGCCCACAGTGGTAGTCCTAAGTGATTAGGTTGTGCTGGGGCATCCCAGGTGTTCATAGGTAAGGGATGGGCCCAGTGGTGGCAGTCCCAGGTGGCTAGGTCTTGCCAGGGCTTCTCAGATTTTCACAGCTGAGGGTCAGGCCCAGTGAAGGCAGTTCCAGGCAACCCAGGCCTGCTGGGCCAGCCCACTGCAGAGGGGCGGGCCCTCTAACAGCTTTTAATATTCTGTTCTTATGTGGAATTTTTCGGATGTTGATTATTATGCGTCTAGGTATCATTTTATTTTGGTTTTGACTATTTGGAGTGCTGTATGCTTCACTTTATCTGTATGTTCAGTTTCCATTCCAATTTGGGAAATTTTCAGCTATTGTATAAGTAGTCTTTTAATATCAT